GCAAGTGGGAAAATGCACCTGTTTAGAAAAGCACAATGATTTACTTAGTAAATATATTTTAAGATCAGTGTTGTGCAAACAGACAAAAGCACAGTGGGAATAGCTATTGTTCCTATTATACAGCCACATTCTCGTTCTGTTTCTAAGTTTTTGAACTTTGCTATTGTTACATTTGATGTTTTGAGACCTTTTTTGGCATTTGCCAGTGCTGACAGTTCACAAGGACAGCACCTGTTTCAACAGCAGAGGTAAAATGCAGCTTCAAGTTTTCTGGACCATATCAGACTATGAATCCTATTGCAGCTCTAGAAGCTGATGGTTGAGTGGGTAGGAGAATTAGGTTTGCATTTCAAAGCCTATTTTGTGACTTTGTTCAAAGACCAGTGTTCTTCAGATGACTTGATTATCCTCTCTGTAATTTGAAGACATTGTATTTACTGACTTTGAGATGGATCACATATACACGGCATTACAGAGCTCATAATTATTCAGAGAGTATGTTAGTAGTAACAGGAAAGGTGAAATAGGACCTATGCTTAGAGAAATAATCAAGCTTTCTCTCAAAGACAGAATTGATCCGACTGCCCCTACAATTCTTCTACTGTGACAATTAAATTCATACAGGAACCCATCATTCCTGGATGGAAAAATAGGGAAAAACTAAGGAAATTCACAGAAATATGTAGATTTCTGAGAAAGCACATTCTTCTCGATCTCTGGTTTTCTGTTTTGCCTGTGCTTGTTTATTTGTGAAATTCATAGGATAATCTTCATGCCATATAAAAGGTATTTTTATTACTAGTTCTATTTACACTAATTATCTAGGCACATCTGTTCTCAAGTGCATCAATGTCCAATGTTTAAACTAGCTCAATATTAAAAATAAAACTCTATCTAATGATCCTAATTAAGCATCTGTGTATTTAATCCCCTGCTTTGGTTTCTTACTACATTTTGTTAGCTCTAATGTTTCAGCATGGAGGTAGGAGCACCATCTACTTTCAGACTGATTCAGGATGCAGATCGCATTAACGAGTAAATCTGATCTGCTTCTGGGAAACAACAAACATTCTAAAAGCACATTCTGGAAGAGATTAATGCCTCCCAGGAATGGAGATGAGAAAAGGGGTTTGTGCTGTCAAGCTCTGGCCTTCGCTGGTCATAGGCTGTGATTTGCTCTGCAAAGGGGAGACCTTGGAAGGCAGGCTGTTAGGAACAACCTCCCAGAGGCAGAGCAGGGCACAACTGTATTGCCAAGCTCCAGGTTTGTCTACAAAGAAGAAAGCAACAGCTGGGTACAATCTCTCAGCATAAACTCGCATTTGTGATGGGCTGCTCTTTCCAATTAAAAATATAATCAGCTCAGCAGGAGGTGTGCACCTCTCTTGAGATGCAGAGTCCTGATTTAGGGTACGGGACGTGGACGTACAGCTAAAACAAAGCAGGCAGAACATGCTGTAGGCCCAAAGCAGCTTTGACCCAGAGATAACATGCACTGCACATAAACCTTGTAAATGGCTTCATCTGCAGTCAGTGGCAGCATTCCAAGTGACTAACGGAAAGAGAATCAAACCTTTCCCAGCAGCATCCTGTAAAAAAAACCCCACAGGTTTTTCAGCTCTGTGAGAAAAATAATGAATGCTTACATGGGGATGAGCTTAGATCCCACTAGCAACCATGCTTTAGCATGGTATTTCTATCATTAAAATTTAGATGTTACTACAAACACTTACCAACACAAAAAAGCATGGGAGTTCCTATCATGTTTGCGAGTAGAAATTATACCTTTGCTTTTTTTTTTGACAAGCCCAACAAAGGTTTAAGTGCTAAATAAACGATACTTTCTGCACCTCAGTAAAAAACACGATGTAAACTGTACCCAAACCCAATGAAAAATACTATTTCTGTAAAAAGTAAACGATTCTATTTTATAAGTCATAAATGAGAACATAAGAAAACAGTCTGACTTCTCCCTAGGATTTCCTAAAGGATTTTTCATGTGGCTTTCTGCCCTTAAAAATCATTTCAGTATTTGCAAGAAACCCACAAGCTGTTCCTTTTAAAATATCAGCTTACCCTGCAAGATGGTAAATTAGAACAAAAAAATTAATGCTGATCAGGGTGCAATTGAACTTTCAACAAACTTGCTTCATGTCCTTTAACAGTGTCAACTTTCTCTGTTCCTGTTCTTTCTGACCAAGAAAATGAAACTTGAAACTAAGCCTACTGAATATATTAATTTCTAACTGCCTTAGAAAGGTAGTTGTAGAGATTGTCATGAAAGGCCTATTTTAGCCAAGAGATTGTGCAGAAAAGGTTAGAATGGAATTGGTTTTAAAGGTATGTAGTAGTGAGGAACGTGTGATGTAAGAATGTAATAGTACAAATAAAGGTAATTAATTGATAAAACAGAAGAAAACCCAAGCACTAGCAACCAGAAGTCAATAAAAGAGTACAGCTGGTTCTATGGCAAACATAATTCAGCCTAAATCAAATGCCACAGTGACTTTCACTGCTTGTGAATCAGGCTCCTAACCTTGATAAACACAGAGGATACTACATAATCTATTGAGATAACTGACTACATTTCAGTTGGGCTTCTATTATTTATTCCTAATTTTTTTAAAGTTTTTTACGCTTTTGATAATTGTTAAAAAAATTTGACAAATGTTTCTCTATTTTTTTTTAATCGTTAATGCCTTTATCTGATTAGGTCACGTGCCTTACGCGAGGATGCAAAGTATGTCAGGAGAAGCCCGAAACGGCTCTTTTAGAGCGGCAAACAGCGGACTGTGCAAATGGGAGGACAAATCTGGCCGCGGGTCCAAACGGGAAGAGGGAAAGCACGGTCTGGCACGGCGTGCAGGTCGGCACGGCCGCCGGGGCCGGGCAGGGACCCGCGGGCAGCTCCACCCGCCGCGCTCGGGGAGGCTTCGGCGCCTCAGGGCCGAGCGGGCTGGGGCCCCCGCGGGGCTCCCGGGCCGGGGAACGGCGCCTGGCAGCGCTCCGCGGGGCTCCCGGGCCGGGGAACGGCGCCTGGCAGCGCTCCGCGGGGCTCCCGGGCCGGGGAACGGCGCCTGGCAGCGCTCCGCGGGGCTGCCGAGGCGCGTCCCGGCAGCCGGGCCCCCGGCTCGGAAGGGCCGAGGGGAGCGGGCCGCTGCCGGCCCTGAGGGCCTCACGGGCCGAGCGCTGCCCGCGCGGCCGCTGGGTCCGCTCGCGTCCTCGGGCGGCGAGACAGCGCGGGCCGCTCCACCGCCGGCGGAGGGGGGAACGCAGGCGGCCGGAGGATGCCGAAGCGCGGCAGCTCTGCCCTCGCCCGCCGCGCCGGGAGGCGCCGCTCCAGGCACTCCGCCCGCCGCCCCCGGGGCGCTGTCCTCGCACGTACCTGTGTGGGAGGGCCCGGCCGCCCTCGCCCCGCCCGCCCGGCCGCCGGCCGTGCCCCCTCGCGGGAATGGTTTGTCCCGGCTCCCCGCCGTAACCTCCCGCTCCTCCTCCCGCCCGTGCCCCGCGGATGCGGCCGCGCGGGATCGCCCCGCCCGGCATCGCCCGCCGTGAGGCGCAGCACGCGCCGCCCGGGAGCCCCGAGCGCTGCAGGACCGCCCGCCCCGCGCCCCGGCAGGTGAGCTCAGGGTGAGGGGCGGCGGGCGCTCCCCCTGCTCTGCCGCCGCCCCCGAGGACAGGCGCGGAGTGCCGGCCCGCCGTGATTCAGCATCACCGGCGGGGACGGGCAGCCCCGCCCGGCCGGGGGGCTGCGGGGGTGCCGGAGCGGGGTCTGCCGGCGGCTCGGGGCGATGATCCGGGGGGAGCGCGGGCAGTGCCGGCTCTCGGCGGGTGCCCGGGGCGGGCGGAGCAGCGCTGCCAGCCCGGGCAGGGGCGGCGGGGCCGCGCGGGGCCGCGGGCAGCGCCCCTCGGGAAGTTGGCTGAAGGCGCGGGGAGGGAGGATGACTGCGCGTGTCGCAGTGTGAGGAACAGGGAGCCAGCAGGCGTTTCGGGATTAAAGGTATTAATTTTCTCTTCCTGTCCCTCCTCTCCCTGAATTTTTGCATGCGAAGCCCGTCATCTGTGCGGGTTGTGTTGCATGTACGGTCGGGTCTCTTCAGAGCCGGTTAAGGTTAAAACGGGATCGTCTTTTGGCAGTGGTACCCGGTGAAGGCTGAAATGTAGAACAAGTTAAATCTCTAGAGATGCGAGTCAAATATCTTCCTGTGCTTTCTGTGTCTGGCTGGAAGCCCGTAATCTGTGGGGTCTTTCTGAATTTCTGCTGTTGAAACCACACATAATTGTACGCAGAAGGGAAAAGCAGTTGATCCCGCAATTTGAACTCAGTGCTGAACTCTGAGAAACTGACTTAAGGTCTCAGTATTGATCGCTTTTGTGCCTTTCTTATGTATTTGCATTTTGAGTACCAAAATTAGATTTTATTCCTTCTCAAATCTCCTCTAAACCAACCACATATTCCACCCACCCCACAACTCTGAATACTTTTCTGCCTAAATCCCTCATTAATTTTGTGTACCAGGGTACTAGTACTTATCTAAATAATATTCAGAGAAACCCTGATTCTTTCCATGCTTGAAAGGGTGGAAGTACTTTTCTCTATGAGGTGTGGTTGTCCCCCAAATTCTGCAGAGTATCTCAAAATATAAAATGACTTGGCATCTGTAGAAGCTTTTGCTCCCGTTTTAAGTGCTGTGACGTTGGTTTTGATAGAAATAAGATTTGTATCTGTGCTACTTTGAACAAAAAGTGACAGAAAACAGTGAATATGCCAGGGGTTTTCCTGCATGGTGAGTAAATATGATGTCTCTGATAACATATGGAAGTATTACTTCTGAAGCGAGATTCTCTGGAGAAAAATGTTACAGAGCTTCAGAATATGTGATTTCTACTGTGAGGAAAGAATATGTCTTTACCTTTACGTATTGGCACTATTATGTAGGAAAGTCTAGAACAATGCCAATTTTGTCTGTTTCTTTGGTTTTTTAGAAAACTGCTCCATTCTAGAGTTTGGATGGTTTGGATATATTCCACGTACTTCCAAAGGGATTTGCCCAGCACTTTGGGAGTGTCAGAAGAGGCCAGGAGACTGAGCCTGTCAGCAGTTATTAGGTAAATATTCCAGTAATCTAGCAATTATGTTAGTAATCTGAGGCTCAGGTTTGCAATCAAAATAAAAGTTTGTTCCCACGTTCTTCCAAAGATGACAGTGATAAATTGGCAGCATAGATTTAGTTGTGGCCAACTCTGAAGAACTTGGAGATGAATTGGTCAACAAGCAGTTAGACACTACAGTTAATATTTTTTCCAAGATGTCTGTAATACTGTATGTTGGTAATGAAAACCATAAATATATTTCTGAGGGTGAAATGTGGCAGACTGATGCTGACTGATGAATGAGCTTGCTCTGAATTGTCAGCATCAAGAATGACTGAAATATGATTTCTTGATTTGAATCTCCATCTGTGGATATTTATTATAAATTTAAAAAAATTGTGTAGGATAAATATGGCAAATGAGTAATTCTTGAACTTCCACATTTTTTAATTTCTTTTCTTTTTTTTTCTTCTTGCCTCTGTTTTGATGTTGTGGTCAGGTGTATTTCTGCAGGTGTCTCGTACTAAGTGAGAATACATTAACTTTAGGATGTAAATCCTTAGAAAATAAGAAATTGAAGTAAAATCTTAATGTCTGAAACGAAATTGAGAGATTGATCACATATTCCAAGCTACCCTGCATCTACTTTTACAAAGCTCCTGTCTTAAAAAATGCACATGGTGACATGTTGCAAGATAATTTTTTGCTATGTGAGTTACTAATGTTTTTTTGGTTTTGTGCTATAATTTTATAGGTGTAAAGACATCTTGTAGAAACCAGCAGCACTTATTTCTCACTTCTGTATGTTTCTGCAAATCTTCAGAAAATTCCGAGTGTTATTACTGCCTTGAAGTGTTGTGGCTTTGGGGACAATCCTAAATCATAAAAACATTGAATTTTTCCGTCAGGCTTTGTATCAGTCCCTGATGAAAGAGATGAATGCTTGCCAGTCTTTTACTTTTTGATGAGGTATTTCCACCATGCATGGTTGACACGGTGGCTCTACCATGATCTGAGCGGGGAAGGAATAGTTTGTATTTTCCTAGAAGAGGAAGTTAATTTTATTTGGAAAGATGCATACAAACTGTCAAAGTTCAGAAATTTCATTGCAGCTACCACAGCGTTCGTAGTGGTTGGAGGATATTACTGGGTTTTGTTTTTCCCTTTAGAGTACTTAGCCTTACAGTCATTTTTATTTTCTGTGCACCTGAAAGTTAAATGGGGCCATTTGAATCCCACTGCCAGAAGTCAAGTGGCCCTTATTAAGCATGAGGAGCTCTTTAGAGCTCCAGTAATGCTTACATAAGATCCTGCCAGAATGGTACTTTGCAACTACTCCTTTTACAGACATTACATTGAAACATTCCTTGAAAGGTTACTGGAAGAAATGAACCTTTTAAATATTTAAAATATTAGTGTATTTCAAGTTTAGAATGGAGTTAGTTGATGTCTGCTGCACTGATGGGTAAGGGAGTCACTTGCAATTGAATGGATGTGAGAGAAAAGAGGTGACACACTGAAGCAGTCAACCCCTGAACCTGGTGGGTATTAGAGCAAATCTTCCTGTCCCAGGCTAACATCCCTCTTGGAGCCAGCGAGGTTCCATAGTGCCTTGGTCCACTGAACATTCTTCTTCAGGGTGGGGGATGCAGGAAACTACAGGTTCTTTCAGGGTGAAAGTAATAGCCTTTGCTAAGAGCATTTTCCAATTTTCTTCCTTACCTTCTCTCTTAAATGTTCATACGGTCGTACAGTATAGTTTCACAATGCTGCCACATTAATTTATACTCATTTATCAATATTTTTGCTCTCCCTTGAATTCCATATGCCAGGAAACAAGCTCTAAGATGTTAGGATAAATTTTTGGCTTTGTGTTTTAGAGGGCTAAATAAAGCAAACATAATGGTTCTTGCCTTCAGTATCAGGTTTAATTAGAATACAGGACCTCCAAAATGAAGATCAGTGGATAAAGTTGTAGTATTTGTTTCCCCAATGTTAAAAATAAAAGTACAGATAGTTTAAAATGTTAAAAATATAGATCTACATTATTTCAAAGGCAATATTTAAAAATGTAATCCCATGGTTTTTGGATGAGCATTCATTTCTAGGGATACAGGAACTGCTTTAGGGAGAGACCAAATTAACAATAATAATGAAAGAAAGACAAAAGAAAACAACATTCTGGTTTAGGACTCACTTTTCCCTTTCTGTGGAGTGAGTGTCTTGCCAATTCTCATTCTACGCTTGTGCTTGGTTTTGGAAGGATTCCAGATTGAAGTCTAATATGCATGGCTGCCCAAATGCACCTCACTCAGATGGCTGCATTACTGCTAATTGATAGAAAAACTGACTGCCTACAAGGATGGAAGTGCTTTACGCTGCAGTTCAGGAGCCCTTTCTGGCCAGCAGTAGTAGCAGAGTACTAACAATCACCCTTCAGAATAAAGAAAGGCTAAATCCACTTTTCATATATAATAAATGCTGCAGAAAGAATTGAGTAGGGTGTGGATTTCAGTTAGACACAGAGTGTTGACAAGTTTATTTTCATCCTTGCTTAGTAGCAAAATGCTAAATATATTCTTCTTTAGTTACATTAAAGTATGTTTCCTTTCAACTTTGTCCTTGGTTTGACATGTGTTTGTTTTATTTTTAGCACTTGAGAACCAGCATGGTAGTATCCCTATAGGGTGCAGTGGAAGCACTGGAGTATAGCATGAGAAAATGAAATCAAATGCTTAATATTGAATTCTTGCAGGTGAAGAGGCATTGATACTGATTATGAACACAAAAAGTGAGTGGACTGACAGGTCAGAAGACTGTGAGATTTGATGAGGAAATTGCTCTTATTTACTCACTCTGATCTTTTCTTGAAAAATATAGAATAGAGCTATGTGATGGAAATCAGCACTTTCTGTGCTTTTGTGGGTGGTTGTCAAGTGTTCAGTGTTCATTGAACATGAAATTTCTATGAATTTGTTATATTGCTGTATCCTTCCAAGCTTATCTTGGTGCTGTGGGGGGTGGAAAAAAACATGCAAAACCACTTTATATGAATTATTGATGAAAGAAATTTCAAATATGTGCAATTTATTCACCCAGGAAAAACTACACTTTTAATTACATTTTATTTCACGGGGATTTTTAGAGGGGTATCATATTATGCTAACTTTTTACCTTTATGTCAACTTGAAGTATTTGAAAGACTATAAATTATTAGTGAGCATTAACGATTATGCATTGATTTGAATAAAAGGGGTTTTCTACTTAAAAATAAACAAGAATAATGTGAAAACATGAGTTTGGTACATTTTGTGTTATTTTAAAAATGGAAGCATTTACTGAAAATAGTTTTTGAGGATGGAAAGGAGATATTCAGTAAAATAAAGCATGGAGGTACAGGAATCAGTGCTGTATCAAAGGAAAACTGTTGCAAAGGCACTCACAGAGTTGGGAATCTTGTAGAATATTGTGATGGTTTGGGCTGGGACAGAACTCATTTTCTTCACAGTATCTAGTTTGGGGCTATGTTTTGGAGTTGTGCAGAAAACAGTGTTGTTAATAGAGGTATTTTTGTTAGTGCTGACACAGAGCCAAGGCCTGTTCTTGTACTGCCATGGTGGCAGGGGGTGTGGATGCATGGGAAACTGGGAGGGGACACAGCTGGGACAGGTGATCCCAGCCAGCCAAAGGGATGTTCCCTCCGTACCACATCACGCTCAGCGTGTAAAGAGGAGTTAAGAAGGAGGAAGGGGGGGATGTTTGGAGGGCTGTAATTTGTCTTCTCAGATAACTGTTACTCCTGATGGAGCCCTGGTTTCCCAGAGATGGCTGAACACCTGCCTGCCCATGGGAGGTGGTTAACAAATTACTGTTTTACTTTGCTTATGCATGCAGCTTTTGCTTTCCCTATTAAACAGTCTTTATCTAAGATTCTGATTCTCTTCCCTGTCCCAGGACAGTGAGGTGGTGGGGGACTGAGCAAGTGGCTGTGTGGTGCTTACTTGACAACTCAGTTTAAATCACGACAGATACTGACCCAGAGCAGCATCTGCAAGTGCAGAAATAGAAGACCAGTAAGGGATCAACACAGAACTAGATTTGAAATTCTGGACACCAGTTGAGAAATTATGCAGTTAATGACCCCAAGAAGTCAATTAAAAAAGCCTATATATTACTTCCCTCTGTTGCCTCTAGGTATGAAGAGAAAATGAAAGGACATTGTGGCCTTTTTTTGCCAAAAGCAACACTCAGGAATACAAACACATATAGGAAGCAAGTCTTTGATAATCTATGAGAAAAATGAAATAAAATGTATGAGAAGTGAAAGTAAAAAGGAGATATATTCTTGTGAGCAGGTGTTTGGAAATGTCTGATGCAGCTAGTGAGCAGATCATTTAGTTTCATTGATAAAGAAGAAATACCTCTCAGTAATGGGACATGCACACATAATGCAGTTCTGCCTGTTTGAGGAGAAGAGATTAAAGGTCCAGTCGAAGGTGACTCTCTGCAACAGCTCTATGTAAGAAACCTGGAACCAAGACAGAATGAGGAGCATGGAAAAAATTGTCTATGGAAAGCAATGTCCAGATTACACTCCCAGTTCTCTTCTTCCACAGGAATTTTTTTCTCAGTTGGTTGCACTGAGTTTCCCTCTGTTTCCCACTGTTTCAAAGTCTTTGAAGTAAATTCCTCAGTTTTGGAAATGTACCTGTCCAATCATGACCCGAGAGGAGGCCTTAATCCTTTGTGTGTGTTTTTTTGGTTTGGTTTGGTTTGTTAGGGGGTTTTGGTGTTTTGTTTTGGGGGTTTTTTTTGTTGGTTTTGTTCTGTTTTGTTTGGGTTTTTGTGTGACTGGGAGAACTATACTTGTTATGAACTGGGGAAAATTGCAACAAACTGATAGAGCCATTGAATTTTCAGAGCCTTTTTTCTTTGTACTTAAGGGACAAATCTGGACATTTGTTTGATTTTGTTCCACTAGAATGGGCAAGCAAGACATTCTTTATGTTTCAGAG